TTGAATGTCACAAGCCACTGGTCTGACCAGTCTGACACTACACTGAGATCATGATTCAGTCTGTTCGCTGAGACAACGGGATCCATGATTATCTCTAACAGTGCGGTGTCATCAGCAAAAAGACGGGAATCTGTTCGTTAATTGTCAACAAGGTCATTTATAAATACAAGAAAGAGCAATGGGCCGAGAAGTGACCCTTGTGGAACACCTGCATCAATTGATAGCCATTCAGAGCACATCCTATTTATAACAACTCACTGTTTACGATCGCTCAGGTAGGATTCAATCCATAATAAGAGAGACCCAGTAACTCCTAGTTGTCGTAACTTAAAGATTAATCCCCTATGCCAAACCTTATCAAAAGCTTTTGATATGTCAAGAAAAACTACACGGGTTTCGAGGCCTTGGCCTTGGATGCTTAACGGTGCACACCCCAGTTCTTGCGCGACCGGGGTCCGTGATAGTCCGTTGTAAAAAAGTGACGAAGGGGTTTTAAGGGCCCAAGTTTGATGTGACATTTCTCTTTTAAAACTGCCACGAAGTATCATTAAACATTAACATGGCTGAAGAGTGTAAGAAATGGTGATTTTGGGGTGAAAATTTCTTTTGGCTCCGAACCTTACTTCCGGGTATCCTTGCGCGCCAAGTGTAATCCGCCCGTTTGACCTAGATTTCGCTCTGCGCCTTCCTAGTAGCGGATTTGCAACCCCTCGCGCTGTGGACGATTAAAAAAATTACAGTTCTAGAATTTTCTTTATAATTTACACGGGTATAGTCAAGGCTTGGGTCTTTCTGCCAGCATCAGTCATTTCTGCCGGAAAATTTTTTTCTATGGGATTATCCTACGCGAAATTTCGCAATTTTGGGCATTAATTTTGGAGTGAAAATAATGTTTTTTCCGTTGATTTTACCAAACTTAAAAAGGTTGAAGAAACCAAACTCAGCTGGTCTTGTAGCTGAAGAGATATCCTTTCGTCCCATATACAGTTATTCTCCTTCCGAATTATTCCACGCCAGACACGGTCGCTAGATTTGAGGGTGTGCAGCTTCGAATAGAGACGCCAAATAAACTGGGGTGTGCCCCCTTAACATTAAGATAGCTGCATGTTCATTTTTAGAAAACCTTTTACCTCCTTTCTGTGTAGCTATTGAACAATTTATGGGACATAAAAAGTTAACCATGAGAGTGGCAATGTCAGCGTCTATAAGTCTCTTCAATCATCTGTTTCATAACTGAGCATAATAAGAGGCGGCCTTTCTGTGATCACCAAGGAACCTACAGGTAACATACAGATTGTGAAGTGATGTTGCGACGTCTGGATGTACGTTGCCCTCACCATAGAAACTCCGTCTCATCTCTAGTGCCTTTTCAAAATAGCTGACGGCTTTCCTGTGATCACCAAGGTTACCCCAGCCTTTTCCCAAGTTATCAAGTGACACGGCGATATCAAGATGTGCGTTGCCCTCACCATGGGTACTCCGCCACATCTCTAGTGCCTGTTCATAATAGCTGACGGCCTTTCTGTGATCACCAAGACTACTCCAGGCGGCACCCAAGTTGTTAAGTGTCCCGGCGATGTCAGGATGTGCGTTGCCCTCACCATAGATACTCCGCCACATCTCTAGTGCCTGTTCATAATAGCTGACAGCCTTTCTGTGATCACCAAGACTACTCCAGGCGGCACCCAAGTTGTTAAGTGCCCCGGCGATGTCAGGATGTGCGTTGCCCTCACCATAGATACTCCGCCACATCTCTAGTGCCTGTTCATGATAACTGACGGCCTTTCTGTGATCACTTAGGTCACTCCAGCCGGCACCCAAGCTGTCAAGTGACGAGGCGATATCAGGATGTGCGTTGCCCTCACCATAGATACTCCGCCTCATCTCTAGTGCCTGTTCATGATAACTGACGGCCTTTCTGTGATCACCAAGGTCACTCCAGGCGGCACCCAAGTTGTTAAATGACGAGGCGATATCAGGATGTGCGTTGCCCTCACCGTTGATACTCCGCCTCATCTCTAGTGCCTTTTCAAAATAGCTGACGGCTTTCCTGTGATCACCAAGGTTACCCCAGGCAACACCCAAGTTGTTAAATGACGAGGCGATATCATTATGTTCGTTGCCTTCACCGTTGATACTCCGCCTCATCTCTAGTGCCTTTTCAAAATAGCTGACGGCTTTCCTGTGATCACCAAGGTTACCCCAGCCTTTTCCCAAGTTATCAAGTGACACGGCGATATCAAGATGTGCGTTGCCATGAGTACTCCGCCACATATCTAGTGCCTGTTCATAATAGCTGACGGCCTTTCTGTGATCACCAAGACTACTCCAGGCGGCACCCAAGTTGTTAAGTGCCCCGGCGATGTCAGGATGTGCGTTGCCCTCACCATAGATACTCCGCCACATCTCTAGTGCCTGTTCATGATAGCTGAGGGCCTTTCTGTAATCACCAATGAGACTCCAGATGGCACCAAAATTGTTAAGTGACAAGGCGATGTCAGGATGTGCGTTGCCCTCACCATAGGTACTCCGCTTCATCTCTAGTGCCTGTTCATAATAGCTGACGGCCTTTCTGTAATCACCGAGGTCACTCCAGGCATTGCCCAAGTTGTTAAGTGACGAGGCGATGTCAGGATGTGCGTTGCCCTCACCATAGATACTCCGACTCATATCTAGTGCCTGTTCATAATTGCTGACGGCCTTTCTGTAATCACCAAGGTCACTCCAGGCGGCGCCCAAGTTGTTAAGTGACGAAGCGATATCAGGATGTTCAGTGTTTTTACCATAGACACTCCACTTCATCTGTAGTGACTGTTTATGATAGCTGACGGCCTTTCTGTAATCACCAAGGTTACTCCAGGTGACACCCAAGTTGTTAAGTGACCAAGCGATGTCAGGATGTGCATTGCCCTCACCATAGATACTCCGCATCATCTCTAGTACCAGTTCATGATAGTTGACGGCCTTTCTGTAATCACCAAGGCTTCTGCAGGCATTACCCAAGTTGTTAAGTGACCAGGCGATATGAGGATGTGCGTTGCCCTCACCATAGATACTCCGTATCATCTCTAGTGCCTGTTCATAATAGCTGACGGCCTTTCTGTAATCACCAAGGTTACACCAGGAATTACCCAAGTTGTTAAGTGACGAGGCGATACTAGGACGTGTGATGCCCTCACCATAAATACTCCGCTCTATGTGTAACGACTGTTCGTAATAGCTGACGGCCCTTTTGTAATCACCAAGGTTCCTCCAGGCATTACCCAAGTTGCCCAGAGACGAGGCGATATCAGGATGTGCGATGTCCTCACGATGGATACTCCGATCCATCTGTAACGACTGCTCATAATAGCTGACGGCTTTTCTGTAATCACCAAGGTTACCCCAGGCGTTACCCAGCTTAGTAAGTAACCCGGCAATGTGACGATGAATCACACCCGTTCCATCACACAAATTTGTTGATAGCACTGCTTCAAGTGCCTGTTCAATGCATGTCTGAAACTGATTGTAGTGGCACAGACTTTCGTACACATCTGCTTGCAGTAGTAAAGAGTTGTCGAATAGAATCGAGGGCTCTTCTACTGGTTGACTGTTGCTAAGTTGCGGAACAAAGTTCTTCAAAGGTGTTGCCGTGTAGTAGTATCTCATGAGCTGTTTTACATTGGAGAAGTGAAAAATTCTCTTTGTCTTTTCATCATTGTCATCATTGACTGACATTGACGATAAGACTGACATGTTTTCCACCTGACCACGGTTGTTCATGTAAGTTCGCAACCTCAGTTCTGCTGAGATGCTGACCAGCACCATTAAGTGATGTGCGTTGTTATCACTAATGGCACCCTTCTTGTACATAGCCTGTATAGTCTCCCAGATTGTAGTCGGCTGTATGTCACAGAGCAGTGCCCAACAAGATACAGCAAGGCTTGAAAAGCGATAAACTTCTTTCTTTACATTTAGCATTCGGGAAGTCGGATTCTGCATTTCAAAAGTTTTGGTATTTTCCATCAACATAGTGTTTGCTAGTAGCCCGGCAATTTCATTTCCATTTTTCTTCAGTTGCTGATTCCATGCAATGGTGTATTTGTCGACCAAGCCTTGTTCTCCAGTAATTAATGATACATTTCCCAACACACTCGCTAGGTGGTAGCCTTTCTTAAGATGTAGCTTAACATTATTTTCAAGAAATTTTGCCATGTGGATTGGTGTGCGAATAAGGAGGCATGTTTTCCCTCTCCCTAGTGGGGTTTTACATGCATGTGGCATGGCTGCATCGAAAGAAAAGCCACGTGGCGTTACAGTGTCATAGAACCAGTCGTCAAGCTTGTTCTTTGACTCGAAGTCATTGAGAGACTTGATCGCCATGACCGGGAGAATGGTTTCCCCAACATTGATCACTTTGAGATGAAGGTAATATGTGAGGTGTTGAAAGTATGCTAGACTGTTTTCTGTTTCCTTCTCTGTCAAAATAGCAAACTCCAGATCAGAGTATGGCGTTACCAGTCCTGTGGCCTGTGAACCCAGTCCTATCATGGCGTACTTGCAGGGAGGGGAGCCCATAACCTCCATACACTCATCTACAAGGCCAGATATGAATGTTCTTCGCTGATGAACAATAGTGTCAAACAAGGCTTTGTTAGCTTCCACTCTCTTCTTTTCTACTTCCATGATCTCTGGGTCGTCGTCATCTAGGCTATAAGGATCTATCTGCTGCTCAATTCTTTTGATCTCTTGTTCAACATAGCTACGGCATTCTGTTAACACCGATTTGTGTTTCTCTACGTCATCGATGGGTACCGTTTGTTCGATGCTCAGGACGTGCTTAACAAATGATTGTGTTATTTCCTGGATTGTTTGTTTGATGCCCTCTCTGTCCTCTTTCTTTGATCTCACTAGTGCTGCGTTACTGAGTGCTGCAGCCTTGGTGAAATCACCTCCGTCTTTTGACTGCTCTCCTCTCTTCAGGTAGACATCGCTCAATTTGCAAAGGGGCTCTGTCTCTTTCCAGTGCTGACCTGCATTGGAACATATATATATATATTGAACGATGGTTGCAAGTTACTTATGTCTTAGCCCCAAGAGTCTTTGTTTTCAGCACATTTGCACGTTAGCTGACACAGTGTGTGGTACAAAAAGACACAATTGTGTGTCTTTTTTCTATTATATTGACTTCACTAACCATGCTGTAATAAAAGCTACATTGTCACCATGTGACAGGTACACGGTATCACTCACCTTTCACATGAACGGCCTTGAGCGCAGCTGCAAAGTGTCGTTCTGCCGTGTCCAGGTTCCCTGTCTTCAGGGTCCTGCAGCCCTCCTGTAGCTGGTCTTGGTACGTACTGTAAAAAAGGAGTCATAATTGTTGATACTGGGATACTGTAACTTTAACCCATACAGGACGTGAGACTTAAACTGTACTGTGAATAGGCTGAGCATCTATCTAACCTTGTCGGTGCACACTAAAAAAGACAGCAAACAAACCTGTCTGTGACTTCCTGTTTCTCTTTGCTGCTGTTTCCAACTTTCTTGTTTCTGGTCCGCCCCGTTTCTCGGCGTTTCTTTGTAAAAAAGATAATATGAAGATGAAAACTTACCTTAGATTTGTAAACAATATAATTAATGCCCTAGTAGCAACTAACAAAAAGCAGGATTTCCAATAGTCAATTAAATATACTGAACATGCATTTTAAAAAGGATTAAAGCATAAAGCTGGCGTTATCTGTGCAACACGCCAAAACGCCATATTTGAATGTAAATTTTATATGATTGAAAAGGATAAGCATTTCTAACCTTGCGTTGTTTTTCCTTGACTTTCTCTGCGTACTTGATGCGGTGTCTTAGCGTTTCTCTGCCGTCTGAATCTTCACAGCGGTCCAGCGCCGCTCGGTACAGACCAGCTGATTTACTGAACGCTGTCTCGTCCTTACCAACCCTTCCCTTCTCTAGGTACACATCTCCCAGGCTCTTCAAGGATTCTATTTCCAAACGTTTGTTTCCTTCCACGATTGCTCTCACTAAACAATTTGTATAACCTTCAATCAAGGGCATCGTACCATGTCCTTTTAAATTGGACTTCTTTTTCACTTCGGGAAGAGTTGTGGACACAGCCAATATGGTACTGCCTGTATTCGTAGCGCACGCTTTTTGAACCTCTTGATCATGGACCAGTTTCGTGCATTTCTCTGCATATCTGATGCGATGCTGTACAACTTGCTTCTCCTCAGTACTAGTGTAATACCGTAAGAGTTCTGTGTACATGGAGCAGGCCTTGTGGAAGTGCTCTGCTTTATGCTTCTTCATCTTTGCCTTGTGTAGGTACAAGTCTCCGAGACCTTTCAAGGCTTCACACTCCAAAACCTCATTTTGAGTACTTATAGCGTGAACCAACTTCCGTGCGTATCCCCTCTCTACAACGTCCAGATCAGAACCGCTTTTAAACATTAAGTCTAGTTTCCGAAATTCGTCCACCGCTGTAGACAGCATGGCGTGTGACATATTTGTTCCTCCTGACAGGGTTTTCTTTGCTTATATAATCAGAATGTGTTCTTGGGCCTTTCCTATGAACCAAATATGATATTGAAGATTTTCTCCGCCCGTGTCTTCACATTATCTTATTTAGTTCTTTACGACCGGGTGAACACGCATCTTTGTTGACCGCACTCTGGTTCATTGACCTGAGGAAGAATAAACATTGTACCAATCATGTACGGATGGTGGACCGAGTGCATGTCTTTTAAAAAAGGCTTGATAAAATTCTTACTGGCAGCCGATGGTTTTATCTTTCATTGGGACTCCGGTAACGAACCTTTATATTCACGAAAATCCCTTTATTCCTTCTTCCGTTGTCCTGGTTCAAAGTTACGGCTGTACGTAAACTCACTTGTAGTTCCCAAGAAATCTAGGAGGTCCAAACTTATACTGTTATTCCCATATACACGCGATCAAACGCTAATATTTACATGGTAAACCTCATATTAGGTAAACGGTAATATGACACTCATCTGGTCAGGCGCTAATGTTGTTCGTTGTGCATCCTGATACTTCAAACACAACCTGTTGTCATCTGGTTTCTGTGACTATACAACCTGTCACTACAACCATCAGGACATATGCAGCCCTGCACACCTGTTCAGTTTCGAGTAGTCCGTTTTTCACTACGTATAACTTATAAGAGTGAAGAATTGCGGTCTGCAAGTGCCATAAACATACCATAACGTTAGAAGTAAAATTACTCGTATCAGTCTGAGGTCACGACTGCAGTTGACACATTCCCTGGTGTACCAGAAACATTTATAACTCTTGTTAATGAGTCTTTGAGAAAGGGGCAGAGTATTATTAAGCAAATGTGAATTCTTATAATTTTTGGGAGGGGGGGGAGGGGCAGGCTAGCAAATCAGCAACACATTCTTGTTACGAAGCCCTAATCCCCACTAGCTATAGGTTCGCACTGCGTGTAAAGTGTTCGGTTTTGTCATCTGTATGTTAATGATAGATGTTTGTGGCCTTATCTATGTAAAAACTCACCTTTTACTTCCATCTAGAGATAAAACTGTTGGTCTGTCTCAGTTCACGACTGGCACCAGCGGAAGCGGAAGTTCCCGACAGCGGAAATCCCCGGCGTGACTCACCTTTACGGAGGGGAGATTCCCCTGGGAATGTTCCATTAACCGACAGGGGTGGGGGAAAAGAATTCCATATTTATCTGTCCGTGTCATTCAGGGGTTGTTTGGAGGGGAGGGGGGGATCATTCTTGACTGTTTCGTTCCCCAAACGGTAAGAATAAGAAAGGCAAAACACAACTTTTTTCGGTAGATGTTAAGTCGATAAGACTAGGATGTTTGTGTCCCACAACAAGGTGTGAAAACTACAAGCATAAATTCACCTGTCGTACCATGCACCACCCCTGTTTCTATCATTGGTCTTGTCTAGATCTTGGTCACATTAGTGTAGTTAAAACAACATCATCATAGGAAAATGTCTTATTTGGAAATATGGTGATGTAGACAGCTACTTTGAAAACATTTGTGTCAAATCTAGACACAAAGGTGCAAAAGGAGCACTTTTCAGAACGATTCAGATTTTCTACGAACACTCTCAAAGAAATCAGTGAAGATGTAATATAAGATGCATGACTACCAGCTAATAGCTAAATTTGTCAATTTGCAAGGCGTCTATTTTGAACCGCGCAAACTGCACACTCAATTTCACATCTTTGGTTTAAAATCAATCTACATCTTTGGAAAATAAACCTTCTCTTCGTTATAGCAGAATTTGAGAAATTGTATCTGTTTCAAAATACACGTTTTCTACAGCATTAGATATACATGTATATATGAATATACGTGATACAAAAGATAGTAGTCAAAGACAATCTTTCACGTCAGCAAGACGCCAGAACTTTCCATCATCGCCCGGACGACGTCTTTTAGGGTCACCTCAGATCAAGAGTATCAATTTCTTGTTCCAGGAGCGCTCGAGATTGTTGCGGAGTGTTCTAGAACTGCAGTTAGCCACTCTGTAGCACAGCAACCAAACACAACGCCAAGGTTGACCGAGGATATGCACGTATCTCTCAAACTCCGCGTTTTTTGCAAGCTGAATTTTGCCTGTTTCCGCCGGAAAGATGAGGCTTCTGGAAAGGATGCATGGCGTCAGCGTTCCTTTCAGTGGTACACGTGCTGTCATTGTTCAGGCCTGGCAGTACGAGACAGAGCGACGGTACTCTCCAAGCAGAGGTTTGGGTTTGGGGTTATTTTAGCGGCTTTTTTTATCGTGGTTTCTCTTTTGCACTGAATTTTTTTCCCACCAGAAAGGTTTTTCCCAGGGGGGGGGGATTCAGTGCAAAAGACAAGCCCCGATAAGAAAGATCGCCTATTACTTTTTCACAACATTGTAAACGGATGTACCCGTGAATATCTTACAGATTTACTTCCATGTACAATTACTGGGACTTGTATTTACAATCTGAGAAACAGTAGTAATCTGAGAACCATCAAATTTTCTACCAATCGTTTTGGAAAGTCTTTTATACCATATTCCATCACTGGATGGAACAACCTGAATTTAGAAATCCGTACTCTTTCGTATCCAAAATTTCGTTCATATCTTTTCAAATCGGTACGTCCTGTAAAGCTAAACCATTTTAGCTTTGGTTCTCGTTCTTCATGTATTCTCATTACCCGACTTCGTCTGGGCACCTGCAGCTTGAATCACAGTCTTTATACCCGGAGTCTTGTTTCAAGTCCATCCTGTAGCTGCGGATGTCCATACGAAACGATTGCTCATTATCTATTGCACTGCCCTATATACACCTACCAGCGCTTAGTCCTTTTTGGCAAGCTTACTTGGTAATATTGTTGATTTAAACACCCTTTCTGATAATTCTATACAATATTTAGTTCTTCGCGGTAGTTTTCTTTGTTCGTATGATACCAACTGCAAAATAATGTTAGCCGCACAAGATTATATATTAGAAACAAAAAGATTCTAACTGTATGTGTCTTCTGGGATGGGAGGTTTGTCACTCACGCGAGGTCTCATGTATTTTTAAATGTCTTGTAAAATATTTTTCTTTTATTGTAAAAGTGACTGCGAGAATATAAGTTGGACCTAACTTGAGTTCGCAGTCGCTTAGTCCATGTCTTTTCATTTGTAATCGTCGTGTTTCTGAATAAATTAAAAAAAAAAGACTAAAACACGCTGAAAATAACCCCAAACCCAAACCTCTGCTTGGAGAGTAAATCAATCAGTCAATTAAACAACACCATAACGTTTTGTTAGCAAGAAGGTCCGTTATGAATCTTCAACTGAATCTTTTGTTCTGGATTTAAGAAAGGACCTGAACTTTATTTGTTTTCTTTCTAGTTCCTCTCGTTTGTCAGGAATTCTTAGCTGATAACATTTCTCATTGTTGTTTTTAGAATTTCAAGTTGCTTAACATTTGGTTAGTGCTTTAGAAAGGGTAAACAGGTGTTAACAGGTAAACATGTAAACAAGTATAAACAGCATCGTATGCAATCCATCGACTGCATTGTACGTTTGTCAAGCAAAGTTGTTGTTTCCATCCCATGAGTTCAATATTCAATTAACCAAAAAATAACTCCAAACTCTAACTCTAAAGGAAAGGAATTGAATAAAATGAAGAGTTTCCATCCATACATTTGGTTGCCTTCTATTACTTGACTTCTCTTAGCTCCTTCATTGGAACTTTTAGCCAAGTTGTGATTTTTTTCGTCACTAAATGTTCTTGTTCTTTCTAAGAAAACCGATTTTTCTCTTTCCTCGAGCACTTTGCATTAGAGTCATTTTTCTTCATGGAGTTTTGTTTTCAATGAATGCTTTCAAAGGTGTGAAATGGGGGGGGGGTACCTTCCCTCGACTCGAATATTTTAGTAACATCTCTAAGAGGATAGTACAATGTAGTCACTGTTTGTCAAAAGGTTCTTTACACATAGAGCTTTTTGGAATTCCAAAGGTATGTGTCGGTATTATCCTAGCTATAGCTTGTTTTGGCGATTGGACATTCGACGAAACATTTATGATATTCAAAAATATCTCGGTACTATCATTCATATTAAAATTGTAAACAACAAGCAGTAGGAATAATACAGATGCCTTTAATAAGTACATGGACAAGTACATCTCTCATGCTGTGAGCTCTCATTGACCTGACCCTGCTGAGTTTCTCAGTTTAAAACCTAAGTACTCTCATGTCTGTCTGTGGCCCCCGCCATCAGCTCTGCTGCCAGGGTGGCCACTGTATTGTGAATGTCGCAATTTTCGAAATAAATAAAACCTAAGTACGTACATTTAAGTTGCCTGAGGATAAATATCACTCTGGGAGGATATAAGTTATACAAATACATAATATGACGGTAAAGTAATTCTTAACATCAAAATAGCTGCATGTTTCCGCTTTTAACAAACGGAAAATCATCATACTTCCAAATCATTTAAAGATAATCTTTCAAATGCTTTCTGTGTAACTATTGAGTAATTCATATGTATGGCACACAAAAAGTTAATCAGCAGAGTGGCAATGTCAGTGT